CAAACACCAAGCCCCAAACATAGAAATGAAAACATTTGCTTAAACACATCAAGCTTTTTTTTTCGGTGATAATGCCTCCTGTGGCCCTGCAGAGAGAGAAGATATATCTTCTTAGGTTTTGATACTACTGAAGCTGCTGTTACAAATGGGGCAGCTGAATTTGAAAGACATGGTCATTAGCCTTTTAGGCAGGGCCTAATTAAACCAGACACGAGTCCACAGCCATGCTCGATGCTCTGTGAGCTTGTACTTAAAATCGAGATGAAATGAAAAATGCATTTTTAACCCTTTTAGATCACAAACACGGCCATATTCTGCACCTTTTTAGCAATATATGCCCAAAAGAATATAAATTTCTTTGTATTCTTACATCAAAATTCAGTATGTTTTCTTCCTGTGTAACAAAATATTAAGTGTGCTTACACAAGCTTGTACCAGCCAATGACTGCATAAAGATGGACAATGTGTCTTCACTTTCGGCCACTGTACAAAAATTATTTCCCAGATATGTCAGGCGCAATCTTGTGCAGCTGTGACGTCTATTGGAGACCTCTGCTGTATTGAGTTCCCGTCCATGCACTCATCCAAACAATCACGAGCAGCGCTGTTGATTGTGAGCACACTGATTGGCACGCACACACACACACACACACACACACACACCTCTCAATCATGTCGTCAAACCCCCTTTTTATAGCACCAAAACTAGCTAAAACCAATCTTGTCAGAAAAATGAACACTTGAACATACATCAGCGCACTGACAACTGTGTAAAATGGCAGTGACCATCTTTGGGAAAAAATGATTTGACATGTACTTTGATTGTTTTGTTTGGACTATGTCCCTTCCACTGATATCGAAGGGGCGGGGTTTATAATCTCTAGTGCAGCCAGCCACCAGTGGTGATAGAAATGTTTTGGCTTCACTTTTGGAGAGCTGTCATGTCGTCCATTTTTATGTACAGGCTATGTACCATCCTATCTCAACTAAAGCCCTATTCACAGGGGAATAGTATTAAAAGGGGACCTCATATGATTTAGAAATTACCCCTTACTTGAATTTACTGAAATTAACCCCCTCTTACACTTTCTGAACAACAAGAGCAACGTGGTAGCAATGAACAAAACCAGACACTGGACGTGCGAGGGGACATGGTTTAATTTCTGTGTGGGGTGGGACTCCATGTTATGTAGTAAGATAAGCCTTCTAACGCAGACTCCATCATATGATATTGAAATGGGGAGTAGTATTGCCAAATGACCTCTGTGTTTGGCGAAATATGCTAGGTAATTTGCAGCAGAATTTTTACTTGACAAATTATGGGTATGGCAGATTGGCACGGGATTGAGATAGCAGACCTCTCCAATTATTACAAATTACTAGAGGTCCCCAGGTAATACTTGTCCTGTGCAAACAGGGCTTAAGAGGGTATGCAAATATTTATGAAAGGCCTAATTAGCAATTAAATTACAAATTGGTCTCTTCAAGCAAAACCAGGCTGCTGCTCCTAAATTATTCTTGCGTTCACAGTCACTCACACAGTGTAATGGTGCCTTAATATTTTCACATTCCAAACAGAGTTTTACTGAAGGACACTATGGCAGAGCATAGTGCTGCTGAAGGGCACATCAGCAGCTGCAAGAATCCAAATTAAACACCTTGACCTTGATGCTGCCCAAAGTCCAAACCAAACCAATCTGAGGATAAATACAAGCACATTTCCATCCCAACACATACATCTAAGCAACTTACTCCAGTTTATTGCACTGATAATTCAGAGGTAAATATATTCAGGTTAAGGCTGATGTTGGTGACCTCAGAGCGGATTATTCAGCCAATCAATATGCACCTCGATTTCCCTGCTGCTGCTGCCTTCATCCAATCTCATTATTGTTTGTTGGTTTCCCTCCGCAGTGTGTGTTTACTGATGTGCAGTGACAAACACAATATTTGCAGAATGATAACACCTGATAATAAATGGCAGATTTTCATTATTTTTTCCCCTGTAGCTCAAGTGAGGGTCACACAGAGAATTCAGATTGTGGTATTGAACTGATGACGCTGAGATAGGCAGGTCTGCAGGATTAGAGGCTCTCAGCTTGCTGGTGGCTAATTACATGACTGCCTGATGAATCAATTACAGGTTCAGCTTCATTTACAGATTATTTACTGACCCTCACTGCAAGAAATCACATCACACACCACACTACACTACATATCACTGCTCCCTGGTGCATGCTTTGTTATATTTATCTATTGATTATTGTTCAGTGGTCAGAAACCCTCGACTCAGCACTTTCATAGTCAAAATGCTGATCAGCATTTAGCCAATAGCAGTTTAGGACTTTGAAACAGATTATTTGTTTTCCCTTAAGAAGATGATTCTGTAGGAGAAGATTAGACTTGGTAACCATAGTGTCTGTGGATCCCAGTCCACACTGAGGAACCGTGGATAAGAGGCAGTAGAAGCCTTATTGAACAGATGTGCCGACTCGGCACCTTTTATATTCAATAGTGCTGATCAAACAACAGGATTTAGCCGATAACAGATTAGCCCGTGTGAAAGAAGATAGAATATTTTTAGCATTTTTCTAAGGATAGACGTATAGTAAGGCCCAATCCCAATACACCCCTTGCCTCTACCACTTCACCCTTACCCCTCTGCTTTGCACATACACATCTAGGGGAAGGGTGTCCTGATTCTTGTTGGAATAGAGGGGTAGGGTGAAGTGTTAGGGCTATATGGCCCTCCAAGTGGAGGTTTGTCAGGGGCACACTTCAAACCGAGTGTTATGAGAAATCACTGGCAAGATGGCAGCATGAGCAGCAAATGCATGTATTTTCTTTGTTAGTAAAGATATACAATTTTCACTAACTGTTGGTATATCTTAGATTAATGTCTATTCAATGTATTATGGTCCTTTTCTTTACAACAAGGATGACAGAATAAAGACTGAGTATGCTGATGTCTTGGTAGCTAACAGTTAGCTGCTGGAGTTACATTGCTTTTGCTGATTTGTGCAGGACAGTCCCAAATTTAACATACTTCCACATCGCATTCCTCACCCTTTGATGGCATATGACGCCTGAAATTTAATCAAAGTCCAGCAGCAAAGTTGCTGACCTTGTTACCCCCCCCCCCCCCCCAGCCTGGAAATCCAGACTCAAATCGAGAAAGATTTTGAGTCTGACCCTCACCGATACACCCTTCCTACCCAAGGGGTGGCACTAACTGAGGCATATTAAATGCTGCCACACACAATTGGATAGCACGATAGCCAATCAGAGCAAAAAACAAGGTGACGTATTCATTGCACTAAGCCCCATTGGTTTGCTGACCAGTGGGGCTAACTGATATATTATGCTTTTGCCATATCCCATCGGCAAAACAGCAAAAACGGCCTTCCTGGAAGCGAAGGGTGTAGTTGGCTTAGCGTTTCTTCCAAAGCTAAATTGAATGGACGCAGTCCTTCGGCAGCTGCCATCTTGGCTGTTTACTTTTCGACTCTTGCAGCGCAGCGCTGTCGTCATCATGTTACACCCACCCAGAGCCCGCCTCTGTCAGATAGACTGATCTGATTGGTCCGGTGGCGATTCAACGGGCTCTGCTCGTCGGGGCCAGATCCCCGTGCAGAGCAAATTCAAATTTGCTAGGGGCGGGGCATCTAGATTTCCAGGTTACCCCCCTCTAACATTTGTGCCAACATTAGCCTACAGAGCACCGCTAATTGACTTGTAGAGAAGCAGTGTTCTTTTAATTTGGTGACTTGCTTGACTGATTGATAGTAAAACCTAAATTGTGAACAAATTGTAATCCAGTAAGTAAGTCCATGCAAGACAAATCATCACTGCAGAAGATGGCATTTTTGCAATGCCCAGCAATACTCGACATGTCAGTTTATGTAAAAACTAGCATAATATCAATGACGTATCAGGGTCTTGAAAGGCTGTTCCACTTCATAGGGGAAGTTTTCAACCACAACCCCTTGTAGCTCTGCTCCCAGGGGCCAAGTTGACACTAAAAAACAAGAGGCAGGGGTAGAAATATGAAATAGGATTGGGCCTAAGTCTGTACTTTGTGGTACTTATTTCTACATGCTGCTGCTTCCCTAGTAGGTTAAGCTGTGGAGTGAGAGGTAAGGTGCTGGATCCCCTATTGATAAATGTGTCAGACTGGCATCTTCCATATTTAGCAACACTTGGTGTCATTTAATCAATAGCAGCTCATGCAGCATGTGTGAGACAGCTGTGATTTCAAAGCAGAGGAGCTGGACCGTTCTCCTATGTGAAACCAGAGAGCGGCACCTTCACTGCAATAAATCAAAGGTGATTATTGTCTGTATCTTTATCTGAAATTACAATGTGCACACAACTATGTTCCTCCGATAATAAAAACTGTGACAGAGCTCTATTAAAGCTGACCAACACTGCTGATTGGTATTCAACTTAACATGACTTCATTGTTATGCACAAAACAGAGCGCTGCTGCCTGAATTGCTGGTGCATCAATCACACATACAGAAATAATGAAGACATATGCCATAGAACAGCAAACTGCAGAAGGAATAAGGGACATCCGTCATGACTGGGCACTTACCAACATGGACAGAAAAACACTTAATAAACTGCAGATTTGGCAGGCGCTTCCCAACGCTGTACACAAAAACAACCAGACACAAAACACTGTCTTCCCACAGGCCTTCACTGTGATGAACACCAATCACATAGTGTCAGGAACAATCCCTGTGCAATAACCCTGCAACATCCACTTTACCAGTAAATTATAGATCTTTGGAGTTTGAATACACTCTATATTTTAAAGTAAATATTTGTCAAATATAAATCTAAGCATGCTGTATATACTGTTATATCCACCTACCTCATGTATTATTATTATAAATACAACAGTGTCTGTGTTTGGAAGGATGTTGACAAAGAGACATCAAAGCCCCCAGTGCTGCTACTAATGAGGGAACTGCTAACATGAATCTCATCCTCACCTATGAACAGCTGGCTGTTGAGCTGCAGGTGGAAGTGTCCGTCAGCAGGAGCCTCCTGTGTGGCGACAGGGAGTTCATCCAATCGAAGCGACGCCTCCTTGACGTTCCGCTCGGCTCGGACTCGATGCCACCTGTTGTCGTTCAGCGGGACGCTCGACTCCACGCTAACCTCCAGTGGCCCGTTACCAACGTCGAAGGAGAAAACCACCTGAGTGGAGGCTGGATGGCAGGGAGAAGAAAAGGAGACAGATGAGACAGGAAGTGGGAGTCAGAGGTAAAGGTATGATTTACGGAGAGGATGGCCGCAGAGAGGAAAACAAAAGAGGCAAATCAACAGAGAATTGTGGAGTGAGCCAGGGTTTAATAAGTAAATCATCAGGCTACCTTCAATCTTGAAATTTAGTTAATAGATTAGACATCATGGTCATACTAACTTTGTCCTATTCAATCCAGAAACAGTTTATAAAATAAGTAATTTGCTGGAAATGCCCTCTGATGGCTAATTCAGTGATTGAATGGACTGAAATACTTTCCCACAATACACAATCCAATAAATCTAATACTGTCATACAGCAGTCCTGCTCATTTCATTCTCCACTTGCTTCTGTGACTCAGTGCAATATCTCATGCAGCATTTCTTTCATCTATCTCAGAAACATGTTCATACAAATCTGTATCCACTGTAGCAGGTGCTGTAAGAAGTTCAGGCCTTGATTCACCTTGTGATTTTAACAAAGTTTAACAACAATTACAGCTCCCATGAAAAGAATACAAGTGCAGCTGCGCGGGTACTTATTACAACATAATTTTGTTTTGTCTATATCCATAAAATTCCCCAACACTCTCCTCTAAAGTCAGTTTTAATCAATTTTAAAGCTTTAAACTCTTGTCTAAAGATTTCTACAGTGTTCAGTCCTCTGCTGTCACTACAAACATGGCCATGGACTCACTTCTTTAGTCAAGCCAACAATTTGCTCATGAATATCTGGGACTTATGGGAAATAGTGTTCATAAAAGGCATTTGAAAAACAAAGATATGAGTTTGTTTTTCAAAAACCTGCCAATTGTAGACATGTGAGGTGAGCCACATAACAGACTGTTGAGAAATTCTCTGTTCCAAGGCTGGATTTTAAATTAGTAGCAATATTAGAGATTTTGAATGCGGTTTTCTCACCATAGAAACAGAACGGTTTAACGTCGGCTCTCTATTGTTCTTCCTGTCAAGTGATCTGCTTAGATCGCAAAATTTCTGTCATGTTCATTCCAACAAAAAGAGTTGATTTTGGAGACTACAGGCGTCTTATCCTTCATCCTTCATGTTTGGGAAGGAGAGGATGTATTATTCTGAGAGCACGAGAAAAAGATGAAACAGTATCCCGGCATCATACGGTAACTTCATTTAGAAATTGTTCTCTGAGGATGCCAACAACAGAGCAGCAGTATTCAGAGCTGGAACAACCATGCTGACAATGATTTCCCCGAGGAGAGAGGCTGTTGGTGCGGCAGTGTCCCTGTATTAGATTCTCTGTGCCCCCCGTTCAAATCCCATTTCAAAGAAAATGCAAAATGGAGCACGATGCAAAAATGGCAAACTAAACCAAACTATAAACACGCATCTCATACCGAGCCGCATAACCATAAGCATAGTACAGAACACCCCTGTGGGTATTTCAGCCATATTTTAAATGACAACACACCAATGAGGGCTGTGCAGTTATAACAGCTACCCCGCAACGATGTTGTGGGACCCATAAAGTCAAATATACCCTCTAGGTTATTGCTGTCATATTCTAAATGATATGCACTGTGGGCAACAGCTAGAAAGCTATGAAAAGAGAGCTGAGACAATAAATATTGTCAGAGAAATGAAAACAGAAACCTAAAGTGAAGAAAAGAAGAGTAGGTTGCAACACCTACCAAAAAAACTTGTGTCCATTTTACATTTCTTGCTCTATTCAGGTTAAAGATGCAAACCTCAACTTGTTTATTATGCCACTTTAGACCCTTGTATTGTTTTTCTTTTTCTCAATTTGGATGGAGCCAGGCTAGTTGTTTCCCTGAGCTGTCAGTCTTTATGAAAAGTTTGTGTTGCAATCAGTCAAAATGTTCCTGCTGGACCACCGTCTATAGGCCGTGGGTCAGTTAAGGCCAGTTTTCACCAAACATTTTCGGTATGGTACCTTTGGAACCAAAGTAACCCTTCAGACATGGTACCTCGACCCCAGTGTTTCCACTGCAAACCATACCCTTAAATGTGGGCAGGGTTGTTTTCACTCACTGCTCCTTCCAGCACTCAGTATATTTCCTCATTACCGGTGACAGATAGAAGTCTACACCTCCTTTATCGTCGAGTTACTTGCCGACATTTTCTGTACAAAATTAAACAGGCTGCAGTTAGCCCACAGGAATAAAAGAGTATTTGTACCTGTTTTTATTGGCCCGTGGGACACACAAGGAAGGAAGGAGCCTATACTCAGAATTGAGTGGGTGAACATCATCCGAGCGAATAGACAGAGCTTTCAAGAGCACCTGTCTGTTAAAGATGTGATCTAGGCTATCCAATTAGATCACAGCTCCACCTTTAGATCTGTGTGCTAGGTACCCCAACAGATGGGGTAACCAAAAATGGGGACGGTACGGAACGGTCCCATTGGTACCATCCACAACTTTTCACAGTGGAAACGGAATAAAAGTGTACCAGACTGAATGTTACTGCTCGGTGGAAACAGGGCTTTAGAAAAAGGTGATTTCACCCAACACAAAAAAGTCCTGATGAAGCAGATTAGCTACGTTATTGAGTGTTCTTACTTAAACTCAATTTAAACTACTCTTTATAATATGATACTGCTTACTTCAGATTTATTATTCCATTTATTTTATTTTTCGTGGGCTTCAGTGTGAAACATCCCCATAAAAAAATTGTTTTCTCTACCTTGGTGCGGAAGAACTTGACTGGCCCGTGCAGAGCTCTGATCTCAACCCCATTCAACACCTTTGGGATGAGAACACCGACTGAGAGCCGAGTGTAATCACCCAGCATCGGTGAATGACTTCACTAATGCTCTTGTGGCTGAATGGGAACAAATCCCTGCAGCCAGGTACAGAAAATTTGTGGAAAGGCTTCCCAGCTTCCCTGAGCTGTTAAACTTTGTATGACATTCACAGTTTAAATCAGGACAGTAAGGTAGAGATAGCTGAGTTCAACCTAAAATAAACAATATTTTCCCTCCAGGATAGTTTGGTACAGATTATGTGGGTAACTTCTGGGTTTTACACGGATCCAGATTAAGGCTTTGACTTCCAGGTTTCACTGACACATCACTCTTATCTGGATTAAATCTTCACCCTGCAGCTGCTACTCACAGCTCAGTTCGATCCGGATGAAGTCTTTGATGCCCAGGTTTTCCAGGAACACACCAGAGGAGGCCGTGGTTTTGAACAGAAAGGAGATATCTGCGCTCAGCTCTCCGTGGAAGGTGGGGAAGTGGAGGTACGACGTCTCCTTGTCAAAGAACGCAGCATTCCAGAAGTTCTCTGAGAAAAAAAAGAAGAGAAAATATACTGTCAAGATCTTTAAATGGAAATCATGCAGCAAACAAATAAGGCAACGCACTCCGGTAATGAGCTTACACAAGGGTATGATTTCTGTTGTGTGGTCTTGCTTGATTAATCATGCCTAACATTTATTTATCTATCTGCTCGGGTAGATAATAGAACGGCTGTAATTACGAATGATTGAAGAAAAACAGCAGGCTTTGTTTTACCTTGTAATGCATTTAATGAGAAGGGAGGTTTAGAGTGTGAAAACTTAAAAGGAAATATGCATTAGCAACAGTTCTGCTAACGATAATTAGCATCTAGACGTTGAGGTACTGTACCCAGGAGAATACATTTACCACATTAAACTCCAAATCCTGTATTTCCATATTAACAGCAGACCTATGAGGAATTAGTCTCTCAGAAACAGTGAGTTATCATTTGCTGCTTGATTTAAAATCACTGGCGGATTTGGTTGAATGTGGATTTAAGTTTTTAAGTATTTTCCAGAATAGGAAGATTTTGGTCATCTCTCCATCATGTGTAACCAGGCAACCAGAACTGGACTTACTGTCTCCATGACAACGGAGCGGGCCCACCCTGTAGGCGGCCTCTGACCCTGGTCTCTGGATGTCACCTAGCACGAGAGAACGTACAGGGAGGCTCTCCTCATGGGTGAGCAAGCCAGAGTCTTCAGTCCTGCAGCAGGAGGAGGAGGAAGGTAGATATAACGGGTATATAGAGGAGCAGGAGGAAAAGGAAGTGATCAAGGGGCGGAATGGAAAGAAGGAGAAGAAGACAAGGACAGAGGGAGAAAGAATCGACGAGAAGGTCATTAAGGACAAAGAGGAGAAGGAAGGGAAGAGATAAAGAAGAAGAAAGAAGAGGAAGAGATGAAGAAGCAAAGCGAAGAAGAGTGCAGAACAAGAGGAAAAGATAAAAAGGGGAGGAGGAAGACGAAAAAAGAGTAATGAAGAAACAAGATGGGGAGAAGCAATAAACAAGAGGGAGGAGAAGAAAAGGGGAATAAATTAAGAAGAAGAAGAAGGAATAGGAGAATCAGAAGATGAGAGAGGAGGTGGAGGAGGAGGAGGAGAGAGGGAGGGAGCCATTAAAAGCAAAGAAACAGAAATTGCAGCAGAAGAGAAAACAGAAGGACAATGAGATGATGAAGTATTAGTGTAAACAATCTATAGCTTATTTGCTTATTTGTTTACAGAAACACGGCAGCAAATTGCTCTGCTAAATTACAGTAGTACTTTAACGAGCTGATGCAACCTGTGCAGCCTTTTAGGCAATTTTCCAGGAGGACATTTTCATGGAGAGCCAGATCGTATCATTGCCATGCTGACACTCAACACTCCATCGATGCCAATTTCAGTGACAGCTAGTTTCCAAAAGAGCACTCCCGATGGACAGCTGAGTGTGCAGCCCTGTCCATTTACACCAATGTTCAGCTCTATGCGCCTCTGATAATCTTCGTGTCAATCTTGTTGTCAGGTGAGAATTTTCCCGGACTGGAAACGAGCGGCATATTCTCATAGCACTCTGAGGATCTGATGAATGGTCTGTAAAAACAGTGTCAGCACTGAACAGTTTGACAGTTTGGACTGAGAGATGGCTGAAAGAAGGAACCATGGTGTGATGAAGAGAGCAGGATCGGTCAACTTATAACGATGGTCAAAAAAATCCTTTTCTTTTTGGACAAATGTCCTCCAAGTTAAAGGGGTATGGGTTGCCAGCTCATATAAGTTCCAATATACAAAAGCAAAATCATAGTTTTTGTCAATGATTAATTTACATCTGATTAGGATTGCCAATCAATGACCAACTTTTAAATCTGCAATTGATTATGTGTCTCAACTATTTTTACTTATGTGATGTATCATTTTTCTGCTGTAAATTACTTGTTGCATGTTTTATCTACTTTAATTTTAAACTGTGTCAAAATAAGCAGCGTTTTATAATGCAACAACTTTAAATCGAATAGGCCAGATCTGTTTCTTTATTTTCCTCTGATCTTATCTGGTCACAGCCAATCACGTTGCTGGATGAAAACCTATCCAGCTCCTCCAGTGTAGGAGTGAAATCTTTACTTTGCAGGCTCAGTCTGTTTTTGTCAGGTGAAGGATGTCCCGCTTGTCCTGATTAACTTACTAGCATGACACACTGCTGTGGGCTTCTGTTTTTTAAGCCCCCATGTGTGCATAATTATAGGCAATAAAGCTGAATTAAATGTCTCTAAATGGACTGCTACTAAAAGTTAAAAAGACAAACTAGAATCAAGTCCACAAAGCAGATCTCTCAAAACTGTGCAGTCTATTACCTGTGGTCACACAAATGACAAGAGCGAAATTATCACCTCTATGACAAACTAATCAGGAGTTGTTGAATGATTTAAGCCCATACCTGTGACCCACATAAAGACAGTAAAAAGGCACAAATCTTTGCTTATATAGTAATAATAACTATGTCTATATATATGTTTATAATGTTCAGTACCACTCCATGCGGTCAGCGTCACAGTTGCAGTAGTGTTGTGGGTCCACACAGTCACCCTGCAGGCCGCAGACACACTGCTGGCTGCCTGGCTGAGCTCCGCCCCAATATGTCTGGACACGACCAGGACCGGGACCACCGAGCCACCAGCTGAACGGAGAGCCCTCTGAAACACACACACAAGCAAACACACCCTAATTTCCGAGAGCAGGTCAAACAAAGTTCTAGTGTTTAAAAGTGGAGCTAATTTTAAAGACTTTATATACTGCTGGGTCGTTTAATCTATAACACATCATAACAAAACATAACAAAAGTTATTAAAAAAAAAGTAGGGCAGTAAAAAGTATAATGTTTCCCTCTGCAATGTAGTGCAGTAGAAGCAGCATAAAATGGAAATACTCAAGTAAATGTACTTAGTTACGCTCAACCCCAGCAAACCAAAACATTTTAAATTTTAAAAATAGATCTCAAACAACAAAAACAACACCACAAACTCACCCCATTTCCCTACAACTTTTTTTTTTCCCCCCAAAATGATGCTTGGAGAAAAGCTTCATGAATTCTTGGTGTCTTTGAGGTTATTTTATTGAGTGTTTCTGTTCACATTATGGTAAAAATGCAACCTTATTAATGCACACTGACAAGCTAAATCATATGAGATTTATTAAAAGAAAAAAAAATAAAGCAAGAGATATCTATTAGAGAGATGCATCTTCTTTTTACTGGTCAAACTCTGACAGTAGGACTGCAGGATATGCAAAATAATTCATACTATGATAATTTTTGATGGATAATGTCATTGCGGTATGGACTGCGATTTAATTAGGAATAGTAATTTTTGCATTTCATTTTTATTAAAAAGTAAAATAAAATGATGATAATGTAGTTTTTGCTGGGTTTTTTACCAAACTAGCATGTTCCTTTATGTCTGGAATATAATTTGTAGGCTGGAGCATCTCTGTAGGACCACAGTGCTTCATCTATATTGGTATGTTGTGACACATTTCACCTTTATCAAAAAATTGCAGCTCCTGCAATTTGGATATTGCACTTGGGCGTATTGCTGTTTTGATATTTCGATTAATTGTGCAGCCCTATCTGAGACCATTACTCACAAAACTGCACAGAACTGCAGACGCTTGCCCTCGTCCATAATCAACCAAAAGATGCTTGCAGGACACAAAAGTTATACAGATTCACTTTCTATGGAAATATTGTGAGCTGTATTGTGTCCTGAGATGAGCAGGGTTGTGAGGAAATAGCTGAGCGCTGTCTGGATAGAGCCCCCATCTCTCAGTCTCGCAAGATGAATCCAGTGTTTGAAGCTGGGGGATGTTTGCCAGCTGCTACCCCTAACACTGAATATATTGTTTTTGGATGGAGGGAAATGATAGTATACGGTGAAAAGTGTTTTTCGCATTGTGAGAGTGCGTAGGTGGAGAGGAGTGAGAGAAGGTGATTGGAAAGGTCTCTGTTGAGTCAGCACTTCTTTATTTTCCCAGAGAGCAGCAGGGGGGTTTATAATGGAACTTCTATCTCCCTACCCATTCTTCCTTCTCGACCACTTTCACTATTTTCATCCATCATTTTATTACCCACCCCCAAAAAGTTGCTTAACCAATCAAATTTCTCTTTTATAGAGTCTTGTAGTTCTACCGGAGAGAGAATCTTTGAGGATGTGTCTTTGCAACCAGTAGCTGTATAGTTGATAAAGTACCTCAAATGTTAACTGGTTATCCAAATTGTGGTCAATTACTTTTACTGTCTATAAACTAATCAATTACTTGACTAATTGTTTCAGCATTATATTCTGCTCAAATATGCATAACAATCATGCTGCATTAACCCAGCAGAGGCGTGTAAGTGCCAAAAACTGCAGTTCTTTGATTGACCACTTGAGGCTGGCTCCGGAAGCCGGTTAATCCCCATAAGGCCCGTTTCCACTGAAGAAGTTCCTGGTACTATTTGGGAGGCAGGAACTACTACAGGAACGTCCTCTCGTTTGGCCCTCTCAACCGCCGTGTCTCCACTGAGAGAGCGGAGTACGACGAAGGTTCCTGTAAAGTTACGGGCTCTGGATGTGACGTAATTGTTGCGCGACCATGTTGACCGGGGCGACGTAGGGACGCCGTTAGCCGATAGCGGTGTCTGTAATAACTCACTAAATGGCCCGTGAAAAAAATATTTTTTCCAGCGGATGTCTTAGTTACAACATGATTGAGCTAACTGGAGTAGTTTCATGTCGTATCCGACAACGGGAGGCTTTTAACAGATGACGTCCTGATGTTAGCTTTGCTGCTGCTGTTAGCTGTCCCTGTCAGCTGCAGCCACTGATGCTTTCTAGACATCGTGATTTCCCAAAACTGAATAAATACCACACAGCAACACAAAACTGCTTTGCTAGCTCAAGCACGTTGTTCCTAAGATATCCGCTGGAAAAAATAGTTTTTTTCACGGATCAGTTATTGTTTTTTTTTACATGGCGGTGGAAGCTATGAATGAGCTAACCCTCGTCTGCTGAGTTTTAAAAATGCCGGCTATTTTGTTGCTTTCTGTTGACATCACATCCCTCCTTGAGTATATCCAATCAGCACCAAGTAATCCCCAAGCCCCAGCCAGGAGTCTTTCGGGGCCATTCTGAGTACCTACCCCGAGGCAGGGACTTGTTTAGCCCCTGTAAAATTTCTGGAACTCTGTCCTTTGGGGGTGGTTCCTGCGGTGGAGACACGCATCAACGGCCCCAGCCCCGTAAAATTACCCCGAAGTTCCTGCGGTGGAAACGGGCCTATAGATTCCAACGTCGAAATACTCAACTTTACAGCAGAAATACATGTTTACAGACTGGTACAAAATACAGTTTTGCTCTCTGTAGCTAATTTCAACATTCATGACACTGTATGGGGGATGAATTTTTCAAAATACCAAGATGGGGAATGCCAAAGCGCTGAACTCAAGGCGTGATGTCATGGTAGCTACCCCCATTATTTTTACAGTCTGTGGTATCAACAAAACTGTTGGCTGAGCAGAGTTTTGAACTAAATGCTAACATCAGTATGCTAACAGTGAAAATGCAAAAATGCCAATATTTGGCAGATACAATGGTTGCCATGTTAATGATTTGAAAGCATTTTAGCATGCTATCATTTAATCATTAGCACTAAACGCAAAGTAGAGCTGAAGCTGATGGGAAGTACTGAACTAATTTAAACCTGATGATGGTGCTAGATGACAACTCACTGGGTCACCATAGTTTACAATTCATCCTCTGGGGGACATGAATGTTTCTACAAAATTTGATGGCAATCCATCTAACAGTTATTAAGATATTTCAGTGGGAACCAAAGTAGTGGACTAATTGAGAGATCACTAGATTTTGCAGATATTTGGTCATAAACCAAAGAGCTGGTCAAAGTCAATGGATCAAAAAATTCCCCAGGAAAGGGATATGAATGTCTGAACCTGATTAATGGCACATCATCAGATAGATTCAAGACGTTTCACTCAAAACACAAATGTCAACCACATGGTGGCCCTAATGGAAAAGTCAGGTAACAATCACCAAAGTCAGTAGGTGACCCTCTCGGCACCATGAGAGTCTGTACAAAATTTCATAGCAATCCATCCAATTGAGATATTTCTGTCTGAACCGAAGTGGTGGACCAACCATCTGGAAAACCTATAGAGCCGTACTGCTCACAGATGTGTCTAGTGTTGTCTCTTCAAACTGAATGTTTTCATTGCATATAGACTTGCGTGAAGGTGTACACTGCTGGATTAACCGCTACCAAGACAAATTCAATAGAACTTGGTGATCAAAGTGATTTTCCCTCTTCTGCTAATACTCACTGTGAGCCAATACTAGCACCAAAAACACATGACTAAAACAGAGAAAACATGACTCATTACAAGGAGGAGGAATTAAACAAATCCTGAATGATCAATTTGTCTGAATCATCTGTGAAAGAAGAAAATCCCTGAAACCACACTGCAGATCGTAATGATTTTGTTCTTTCTGGTCGAGAAAGAATCCCAGCTAAAGAGTGCCGGCTTAACCAAGCTTATGTTAACTTTTATTTAACCCAACAAGATCTTGTTTACAGTCTTCTCTTAAATGTGCACTTGAGAGGTACTGAGGGAAAAAGGAGGGGAGAAAACACCAAAGTGCTCACAAAGAAAAGATTAAAGGGATTCAGATTAGAGAAGATTTTTTTTAAAATTAGATCTACTTTCTAAATAAAATCACAAAGACAGAATAAAATAAAATTAAGTTTTGGCTTCAGTAGAGTTCATGATTCAAGGTGTTAAAATATAAAGTTACAAGAAATTAAGAATCATCTATAGTCTGTCAATCACAACATGTGTCAACATATATATGAAACAGCACAATGTGCTTATCTTTCTATTTAATATAAGGCTACTGTTAGCAGCTGGTTAGCTTAGCTTAGCACACAGATTGGAAACGGGAAACAGCCCCCCTGTCTCTGTCCAGCAGTAATATCTGCCAATCAGTACCTCAGTAGGGCGGCAGTAGCTCAGTCCATAGGGACTTGGGTTGGGAACTGGAGGGTCGCCTGTTCGAGTCCCCGTCCGGACCAAATATGGAGCATGGACTGGTGGCTGGAGAGGTGCCAGTTCACCTCCTGGTCACTGCCGAGGTGCCCCTGAGCAAGGCACCGAACCGTTCAAATCATGTCACTTTCAAATCAAACATGTAATGTACTCACCTCATAGGCACCGATGTTAGGAAGGTGTACAGGGAGTTGCCGTGTGTTTGTATATCCGTTATTGTTCAATAAACATGCATTTTTATCTCAGATGTAAGCCTCTTACTACCAATGTGCAATACACCTCCCAGCTGCTATAGTGGCGCTGTGGCGCAGTAGAAAGCCAGTGCACTCATTCATTGCAGGACGAAGAAGGGGTGAAGAAAATTTCAGACATGCCCATTCCCTATAGTGTCAATCTTTTCAGATTGAGAAAGCAAAAATGTTGAACTTTTCCTTTAAAGTTACTAGTTTGAATACCTGGTTTGGCCCTGGACTGTTAAGACGGTAAATGAGGATATATCCAGCAAACCTTTCCTGAACAGGCCCTTACCTGGAGTGTTGAGGAGGCGGGACCTTCTGCAGTGGTAGGACAGTTCCTGTTCGCAGTATTCTGATTGGCTGATGGCGGCCAATAGCTGCTCCTCTTCAGTCGAGTAGTCAAAGTGAACTGAATGCTGGTTCCCATCTGGAGACGGTCGGAGTCTGGTCAGCTCTGTGTTGTTGTGCTGGATGACCATCCATGTGTTCTCCTCTGGTAGGGGATAAATAGATATGGGTTACTAATTAATTACTATTGATTAATTGCATTTAGTAATTATTCATTCCCATTTACAGAATATGTGTTGTATCATATCCTTGCCTTTGCAACAGCAGCCTTTACCCATTCATGCAAAGAAAGGTAAACCACATTTTAGATGTCATCTTTGCTGCTCTGGCACCCATACTTAAAGGGATAATTTGCCATTTTGTAATACAGGCTTATTATTTTTCTTAGAGAAAACTGATACGACTCTTACATTTGTACTTAAAATATGAAGCTACAGACAGTGGGTGGTAAGCTTAGCTTAGCACAAAGACTGGAAACAGAGGTAAACAATTAGCCCCAAAACACAGCTACCTGCACATTTAAAGCTAACTTAATGACACATACTATGTATTTAATTTTTTTGTACTGTTTGAACAAATGGGAAATAATGTGGTGATTGGTGAGCTTTAGAGGTGCTGTTAGCGTAATTTTCAACTTTGGAGACAGCAAGGCTAGCTGTTTTCCTACATTTACGGTCTTTGGGCTAAGTTAAGCTAAGCTAATTTCCTCCTGGCTCTAGCTCCATTTTTTACAGAGCAAATATGAAAGTGGTGGTTACAGTATTTTCCAAAATGCCAAGCTATGTCTTCTGTCTGATCTTTAGGCCTGTACCCAACACAGAGTTATGTCAGTCGAATCAGATTTGGCTGTTCAATACCAATATTTTACTATTTGTTCCCTTTTTTCCACATAGAGTTTAAGAGTCTAACAGAGGTTTGGTGTGACGTTCAGTGTGACAGTGACAATCACGTAATATAGTAAACAAGCAAACTATGCTGATGACGGATCGGACATGTGCAATATTTTTTACCAACACTAGATATAAAACAAAAGCCAGAGACTGTATTGTATTAAGCTGCTGTGAACTGTAAATTCACCGCTTCCACACAGAAGGCAGAAGGCCTTCTTATTTTGGAGCCTTATGGGGCAAAACCTCTTCTCTCCTGTGATGTGTCTGCAGCTGCCTGTGCCACAGAGCAGCGTAACAGTGAAGAGCACTCACTCTGCAGCAAACTCTGGGGACCAAAATGTTCCCAGAAGTACAGCACACTGACTGGACATAGTGTAACTATAGACAGGGCTGTACTGTATACGTATTACTGTATGCCATAATTTAAGCAGCTCTGAACTTAAATTTGAGAGAAAGAGAAACAGAGAGTGACAGAAAACAAAAAAACAGCATATTATCCTTATTAAGATTTATACACGTACACAAATGATGTGAAGCAGTGACCTTATTATTCATATTAAACTGATGACATGACAGAAGAAAAATGAGGGGTAGAAGATAAAGTGGATCAGAGCTAATGACAGGAGCATCATCATTTAAAATTATGTAAATTTTAATCATAAAAATGTGAGTGATGATGAGAGGAGGAGGGTAGAGTGTGTGTGTGTGTGTGTGTGTGTGTGTGCGCGCGTCACCTGTCATGTTGCAGTAGACCAGCTGTGGTTTGATTGGTCCGCTGCCGTCCACGTCGATATAAAAATGTCCTGACGTGTTGCCGTTGTGTTTGTACGCCTCGCAGGACTGTTCGTACACAGCTGGGAGGAAAATAATGAGATCAGCTCAACATGAATCACATCAACATCAACACATCAGCTGGCAGACGCACACAGGAGCTATGAGGGGATGATGATTACACACTGTGGAGGATTATGGGCGCTGCCACCACTGAATCACCATCTCATAACCAGAGTGAAGAGAATCATGTGAAGTTTTATTTCTGCAGCAGCGTCCCATAAAGTGAAGACTAATCCAACTGGAGAGGAGGGTAATGACTGATGGGAGTACAAAGACTCCATAAATAAAACTTTGGACCTTTATCAGCCCTGCCTCTTCCTCGCTGTCTCCATAAGTCTTCCTCCCTCCTCCCTTTGCCTCACACACACACACACACACACACACACACACACATACACACACACCAGTGCATCCTCTGCAATCAAAGAATCAAGCCCTTCAAGTCAAATCCATATCTGAAGGTTCCCACACTCTGCTCACCTGTTTATCTCTCTTCTTCTCCACAGCCAACTGCCTTTTATTCATCACATTCCCTCAGCTGGTTAGAAAAAGGTTTCGCAGAATCGTCAGCAATAAAAATGAGACCAGAGGTGAACCTTGTGGGAAACTCTTCTCTTTTGGTTTCAAGGATTTGACTCGAGGGAGTCTGTACAGAACTGGTAGATCTCACCAATGCTCACCTCACTGCTGAGGTTTTATTTATGCATTCAGTGTTTGGCAGCTTAGTCACAGCTACAGTCTCATTAACCTTCATCATATCACTCACATACTGTAACCACTGGATAGGAAGGAGGTGCAGTTACCACAAATAGCTCACAGGAAATGGTCTCTTTAAAGGCTGATTCCAATTTATGAAAACTGTGGTTTTATTTTTGTAGTCTGGGCCATAATTTCTATTCTTCATGCTTACTCACCAAACTACTCACTGTGATGTGGGAACATGGTGACACGCCTCAACAAAATCCAATAAAGCAAGAAATGCAAAAGGTCAGGTTGTAGACAAACTGAGCATAACCCGTAAAACCTTATTATTTGAAGCTAAAATTCTAAGTGAGCACTCAACTAAATTTGGCAGTAATCCGTCACTGCACAGAAAAACTGTGCATGATGCAAGTACGGTCAGTACAAAAGGTCAAATTTGAACCATATAATTGGCCCATAAACTGTGATAGACGTTTACCAACGGACAGTTTGGGTAATAATCTTACAATTTTTATTTCTTCCAAATAAGTTCAACTGTTGGTTTGTTCACAGTAAAACCTGTTTTATTGTCTGACTGCTTATGTCTCTTGCCCCTTCAACTTCTTTATAGCAAAGTTGCCTCGTTTTTACGATCTCAGTAATGAACTTGTTGAGTAAGATATTTTTTATTGCCAATAGATAAATGGCCACAGATCCAGGTTTTAAAGAATTGGAATTATCTCTAAAGAAATGTGCACAGGCTACAATGTAAACAAAAAATCAAGAAACACACTCTTTTGCTCTCACACATTGTAAATGCAAGTAATATTGTACCCTACATAACATCAATAATAACAATAATAACAAAAATGATATGTCCTCCATTCAATCACACAAATAGCAGGACTAAAAAACTACACAAGTTTGTTTGTTTAGTCAGTGTTTTTATTGCAAAATGTATGAAGCACTTTATGTATGATGTCATTTAGGATGTGATTTGTTTAATGTGTTAATATGTTTTAATGGGTTTGTACCACAAGATGTTTCATATCATTTCATATCTCTCTGTTTGCACTGCCTCTGAGTTTAAATTATGCAGGAGGGGGAAAAAAATCTTAATTATTGTTTCACACACGGCCTCAGTCCTAATTTTCATCTCATCTGCCCCGTCTCACCGTCTCTCCCTGTCTATCTGTGCCTTTCTTCATTTGGTTTTGTGGCCATGTGCTGATGTTTGACAGGTGACTTACAGCTGTGGCAGGTCGCTCCGCTGTAGCCGCTTACAGAACAGTTACAGTGGAAGACAGTCCAGGATTGACTGCAGCGGCCGCCATGTTCACAACGGCTGGGAGAACACCTGAGAGAAAGAGAGATGAAGCACAATTTGAGAATATATTAACACGTTTTAGGGTGGTTTTATGTGCTGCCAAATAACAGAGAGGGCAAACACTACTCTTATCTTTTAATATCAGGAGTAAATCTTTTATGTGAAATTCTCATTTATATTCTAGCTGATTCACTTCTGACTAAAAGGGGTTTTTAACTGGATACACCTGCTTCATTTGCACACATAGATGATGGATACCAAAATTAAAGATACACTGCCTGATTTTCTCATAAAGCCCAATCAAACAAAGTTCCTCCCGGCAACTATGATTTCTATTGAGTTATAAAACATGCACAGTGAGCTGAGAGTAATGATTTTTTAATCTGAAGGTGTTGTAAAAATATTAAGGAGGGTATCTTTGCAGTTATAGGTTTTATTGAAGCATTTACATGGTTCATAGAATCATCCGGATATTACATGTAGAATGTCGAAAAGGCAAATACTAATAGGGAAAAGGAATATATTGTTGCAATCAATGTACAGTCAATTTACAGAGTATTTCAATATTTGCTCAATTACTGGACCTATTTGCTGTTGCCCCAGAGAATGATTCTCCTCCAAAACTGCTAACCATGAGGCCTTGTTTTGCCTCCAATTCTCTGCATGCGTCTACAGAATAAAAACAATGACAGAAACCAGACTATGCCACATATTGTACTACAAGTAATCAAGAAGTTTAAAAGAGCTGCATGTGACATTCAGAGCATTAATACAGCAGCAGTAATGGTGTCCTGAGCAGAGAATGAAGTCAAGCTACCTCTGTGTTGTAATCCAGCTTCTCTGCTTCATGTTGTGGCAGCTGGTCCAGCCATGCAGCGGGCATGTCAGTGGATGTGAGACCCAGTGTGTATGTGTATCCCTGACTAATGGCTGCTACTCTGCACTGCGCCTATATGGGGGTTATGGCTGATAACACCGTGCCAACCCACGGTGGTGGAATGGTATTGGCCGTGTTTCACAGATCGCTCTTAGTGCTAAGAGCTTCTTAAGAACGCTCTTAAAGGGATAGTGCACCCAAAAATGAAAATTCAGCCATTATCTACTCACCCATATACCGAGGGAGGCTCAGGTGAAGTTTTAGAGTCCTCACATCCCTTGCGCAGATCCCAGGGGAGAGTGGGTAGCAACACAACTCCACCTTAATGGAGGCTTACAGTGCCCCAGATTCAAACATCCAAAAACACATAACTGAAACCACAAAATATCTCCATACTGCTCGTCCATAGTGATCCATGTGTCCTGAAGCCCCGACATAGAAAGTTGTTTGGAAAAACATCATTTGAACTCATTTGCCCATGTCTCACGGTCTTGCGCAGGTGCACACACGTTAGTTAGAGCTACAGACTACAATGAGGCTAAAAACATTGGTCAAATGACGTTTTTCCAATCAACATTTTATGTCGGGGCTTCAGGACACATGGATCACTACGGACGAGCAGTATGGAGATATTTTGTGGTTTCAATTATGCGTTTTTGGACGTTTTAATCTGGGGCGCCCAGCCTCCATTAGGTGGAGTTATGTTGCTACCCACTCTCCCCTTGGATCTCCGCAAGGGATGTGAAGATTCTAAAACTTCACCTGAGCCTCCCTCGGCATGAGGGTGAGTAGATAATGGCTGAATTTTCATTTTTGGGTGCACTATCCCTTTAAGCCTCCCGTGAAAGAAAAACGCGTTTCCCAGATCGCTCTTATGCACTGATTAAGTGGTGGGTGATCGATTTGCCTGACATTGATTGATTTCGTTTCAGCACCGCGGTAGTGGCCAGCTCCTGTTAAGAGCTTCTTAAAGAGCAATCATAAGAGCGATCCTAAGAAGGGCATTAAGAACGCATCTGGGAAACACTAGTATCTTAGCGTCCCTTCTTACCAATGATGTTCTTAACTGTGCTCTTAAGTCTTAAGATCGCTCTTAACTGGGAAACGCGGCCATTGTCTGTTTACACTGTTAGCATTGTTAGCTGCCAGTTGCCAGCTCAGCCACCTCCATGTTGAGAACTGTGTGCAGACAGCCTTGGCAAATATGCTCTGAATGTTGCATACAGCTCCTTTAATGAGTAAGTATACACTTGGGAGGACTAAAATCTAAACCAGGGTGTGAAGTTCTCATCTCTGATTGAGGCTAGCGACTTGAGGCTTTATTAACTGCTGCTACCATTACACAAAATCCCTGGCCAACCTGTCAGCGATTCGAGTTCCACTGTGAGCAATGTAGGTGGCAGGATTTGACGAAGAAGAAAAATGTGTGGAGTTAAATAAAATAAATAAAGAAAGAATAAATCTTCGAGAGCTCTGAATGTAACTTGACTTTGGGGTTACATATCATCTATCATCAGCTTCATCCTAAAAATGCTGATGATTGGGGGAACCATGCTTTCAAACTCACACTAACTTTCAAAGATAAAACTACTTCATTAAACTAAATGAGCCTCTTATGAAATGCAGCTTCCCATTTCACGGAGGGAAAAACCTTTTAGCGAAGATCTTCAAGGTTCTTTAGGAATAGAATGTCAAAAAGAACGTCTTTCATTTTTGATATCATTTCTTGTATTTATAAAGTTGTTCGCTGGTTTGGAAAAAACAACATTCTGCCGCTGAATGGAGAATGACTTGTGTAGAATATTAATTTGAAACACCTTTCACCTTTCCTCAGAGAGATCAAAAGCATAATTTCATTACTTTCTCTCTTTAGATCTTTCTTTCATTTTATATAAAAAGGAGAAAAGTTTTCTGCTGAATAGAAAATATCCTCTCACTTCCTCTCAGCAGCAGATCTTCTCTGATTGAACTGAGCTGCTCTTCTAAAGTACTGCCAGACTGTTTGAAGAAGCTCTTTAAATGAATCCAGCTCCCAGGAGACTTCACTGAAGATCTGTGTTATTTATAGATAAATATCATAATACTGTAACCATCATGACATCAGTCCTGTGTAGGAGGAGGAGGAGAGGGATAAAAAGAAACCGAAGAAGGGTGGCAGTGATTGTGAGAATACATTTGACATTGAAAATGATATACTGACATTGGGAAAGACAAAGAAGCATTGCACTATATGGTGTGTTTTTCTTCCTCTGCATACAGATGATCTATTGTACACTGGATGTGGTCAAGGCTTAAAAGTTACCAAGGCCATTCAGGAATTGAAATGAAAAACAATGGGAGAAAAAGCCTTTATATTTATGAACATCCGTTTTTATATTTCAACCTGCTCACGCATTTTACATTGACCTGTCAGAAACATGTAAATGCCACTCCTGCCCACGGTACGTAATTCCTGGAAGCCTGTGATCATTTTTTCAATCAGAGGAAATGGGTGGTTTATAATCAGGAAGCAGAATGTGTGTTTGTGTATGTAGCAGGCAGCAGAAGAAATGTGGGCCCCGCAAAGCTGTTTGTTCATGTAGGTAGAGTTATAGGAACTGATTTAGCAACCTGCAGTAGGATGGCAGGATGACAGCACACTCTTCAGTAAACCAGCTACTTTAAGTCCTGGGGCTGTATTCACAAAGCTTCCTGGTACAAAGAGTTGCTGCTAGTGATGAAATTCTAAGAAATTTCTTAGAAGTAACATGTTTTTAAAGAATTTCCCCTTAAAGGTAAGACTAGATCCTGGTAAAGATAAAAGATATTTTAAAAGTATTTCGTCCTTAAGAGAGCTACTGGGGTGTAAACCTATAAGGAGCAGGGAGGAGGACTTTTAAAGGAACAGTGTGTAGGATTTAGGGAGATTTAGTGATATCTAACAGTGAGGACTGCAGATGAAACTTCTCCTGATTAGAATTCCTTTAGTGTTCATTGTCCAGGAGGTTTTTACAGTGAGCTGGATTATCTGCAGAGGTCTCCCCCTCTCCAAAACAAACGAATCCAATGATTTGAACTGGTAAATAAACAGAAAAAAGCAGTTCTACTTTACAAATCAGTATTTCTCTGGTGCTGTTTGGCATGTTGGAAACAGGCTGCTAGCCTAGCACCTGCAAACGTGTGCTCATCTTCTTTCTCTAAGATCCAGATGTTCAGGAGGTTTCTTTCTTTTTTTTTTTTTCCCAAGGATATTTTTTGCCTTTATCCGATGGCACCCTCTTAGGGTGGGGAGGAGAGATGGTGGTGATGGCATGCAGCAGGGGGCTGTGGGTTGGAATTGAGCCTGTGGCTGCTGCAGCAAGGACGTGGCTTTGTGCATGGGGCACCTGCTCTACCAAGTGAGCTAGTGGGCACCCCCATTCAGGAGGTTTTTACTGGGAGCAGAATTATCTGCACAGGTCTCTTCCTCTCCAGAACAAAATAAGTTTAAGTTAGAAAATCAGTGGTTTTCTGATGCTACAAGTCATGGAGTGGTAGCGTACAAAATACAACAACGGGAATGGCCCTATCCACAGCCAGTGTTTGGTTTGCCCATTCTGGGCTACTGTAGAAACATGGTGGTGCAACATGGCTGACTCCATAGAGGAGGACCCGCTCCCTATGTAGATATTTTCAGGTGACTATAAACTAAAGAAAACATACTTATTATATTTTATTCCATTTATTCCAATATATCCCCCTAAATCCTACACACTGGACCCTTAAGTGGCTTAAGAAGAAAGAAGAAGAAGAAAATAGCGGAAAAAGACGAAGAGGTAGGAGAAATATTATGTCAGCATTTCCAATTACATCATGTCTTAATAGAGACTAACTTCTATGATTGAGCCTATTGATTTCACTGTCCATTCTATGCCCGTTAAGAGTGCATTTTTATTTCTGCTTTTTTTAAAATGAATCATCCAATCACACTTTTTACAAGAATATGTCATACCTAGTAACGGGGTCAACCACACCTCCTCATTAAGGTAAAGGTTTCAGTCCCTTCCTTGCTCAGAGTTGCAATGACAGTTTCTCAAAATCACTCCTCAGCTAGGACTCCTTGCTAGAATTTCTTATGGCTTTGTTAGGAGCTCTCTGAGAGTGTTCTCAGGGTGTTTGTGAATACAGCCCCCGA